TCTACATATATGTGTAACAATACTGACCGGAGAAGAAGAGGGATCAACTTGAGAGATGGGAGAGACCTCGAAGGAGTAGGGGGAGGGAACTTAGGGAGAGGTGAAGGGGGAAGGGAGGAAAGGAAAAGGGGGAAGTGATACAATTATATTTTAACTAAAATGTAAAAACAATTTAAAAGAAAAGACTCCAGGGACTGCCTGAGAGCTGACAAGACAACGCCAGCAGATCTGGCTTCTCCACGGATTTCCCACTCAGCCTGCAAGTCTTCCCTGCTTCCCTGTCCTTGAAGGAGCCTCTGTAGAGCGTTCCCCCACATGAAAATGGGGACTTAGGAGCTGACATAGGAGGTCCTCTCAGCTAGCTACCTGGCGCCAGGGGCCTGTCTAACTTCCGTCTCTGTGATTATGAATGTGTCACATAGCTTCCTTAGCCACAGGTGAGAAAGTTCTGCCCTCCTGGAGCCTTGCTCACCCTGCAGCTGTGGGCGTGGCGTGAGGCAGCACCAGGTGAAATGTCATGGTATCAAAGGTGCCCTAGCCCTCAAATGGACATCCGCTGAGGCAGATGAGGCTGGGGAGGAGGCACTGGGCTGGATGGCTTAGTTTTGCTTCTGTCGGGTGCTCTGTGCAGCGCAGGTTGGTACTAAAGATGAAATTTTAAGATCTGTGTGGCAGCAGGAAGGTCCAGTTTCTCTGAAGGACTGAACCCCAAACAGCCATAAAAAGGCTTATTTTATTGACAGTTACACAAAGTGTTTCCTAGTACCAAGGTCCCTAATTCTAATTTGCATGTCTTACTGAAGGAGAGCGTCACACGCTGCCCCCCACAGCTCTAGTCCTTTATTATGTATGCTTGCAATACACAATAATACCAAAAGCTTCTGGGATGCCTGAGGCTTCTCCTGACCAAAGTCACAAGGTGGCTGTGTTGCCCCTTCAGCAAGGCCATCACTGCTTTTCCACAAGGATTCCTCAAGGTCAGAGCACTTATAAAAAACAGTTCTTCATTCTGACATCTGCTTTGATACAAAGAATCTGCTAAGTTCCTACAACAGCCTCAATTTCCATCTCCTCAAGACCAAAATGGAACACCACACCATAAAAACAAGAAGGACAAAGCCAGGCAGTGGCGCACACGCCTTTATTCCCAGGACAGGCAGGTGGATCTCTGAGTCCAAGGCCAGCCTGGTCTACAAAGTAAGTTCCATAACACCCAGAACTGTAACAGAGAAGCCCTGTCTTGTAAAACCATTAAAAAAAAAAAAAGACAAAAAATAACTCTCAAATTCTCAAATACAAAACTTAGAGTTAGAACAGGTCAAGTACTTATGTGGGATGATTTATGATGAATGACAGAAAATCACACATTTGTTCTAAACTTTAACCATTGAGCAACCCTGGTTAGTTAAGTATTTGTCCCAGGAATGAAGGAGACACAAGGACCAAGGTCACAGGATCAGATGATTCAGTTACTGGGGGAAGGGGCAGAATACTGGAAGTCATTCTTGTGTGCTCAAAGCCAGCCTGCTTATCTGACCCCATCTCTAGCAATTACCTGCTGATGTGTCTGTCCTGCCCTCCCCACACCAGCTCTGGACCAGGGACAACTGGAGGCCATTGGCTGAACTTTTTTTATCTTTATAGCACACCCAAGATTCCAACAGACAAGTGTCCACAGCATGGCTCCCTAGCTGACTGCTGAATGTTGAAAGTAGATATAAAAGAGAACGATTTTTTGTTTGTTTGTTTTATTTTGGTTTGGTTTTGGTTTTTCGAGATAGGGTTTCTCCATGTAGCCCTGGCTGTCTTGAAACTCACTCTGTAGACCAGGCTGGCCTAGAACTTAGAAATCCACATGTCCCTGCCTCCTGAGTGCTGGAATTAAAGGCATGTTCTACCACCAATCAGATAGGACCACTTCATTCTTAACAGTGACATGGGGGTGGGGTAGTAGCAGCTCCAGTTCCATGAGCTGGCAAAGGTTCCCTTTCTACAGGAATAGACAACTTGATTTCTTTTATTTACCCACAAAAGCCACAGGTAAAAAGTGTTTATGGCTTGGCAGCTACCCTTGCCACAGGCGCGGCAACAGGTCACAGTCTGACCCCGCCAGCCCACTCATCTTCAAATAGTGTTAATGGCCATGTTTTCTACTAGAATCTGAAAACACCAGCCAGGCAGTGGTGGCGCACACCTTCAATTCCAGCGCTTGAGAGGCAGAGGCAGGTGGATCTCTATGAGTTCGAGTTTAGCCTGGTTCACAGAATGAGTTCCAGAACAGGCTCCAAAGCTACACAGAGAAACCTGTCTCAAAAAGCAGAAAAAAAGAGAGAAGGAAGAAAGGAAGGTAAGAAGAAAGGAAGGAAGGAAGGAAGGAAGGAAGGAAGGAAGGAAGGAAGGAAGGA